TTACCGTTTTAGATTGATTTCGTATTATTTCCATTTTCATGCACTTATCCCGAAAATAAGCTAACTCAAAGAAATGAAGCAATTCTGGGATGAATCAAAGAAATGAGCCAAGTGGAAGCAAAAGGAAGAAAAAGGTGAAAATCAACATCTTCGATCGATCTCAGATCAAAGTTCAATCGATCCAATATGATCGATCTCAGCACTTCAAGATGGATCAGAGCCATGATGACATTTTCAGAGATCTCAAAAGTTCGATCGATCCAACATCATTCTTCGATCGATGAAACTACCTTGTCCTTATCCAAATGATTAATCTTATCTAGTTGTACCACCCTACCAACCACTTTTGTCCTTTTCCCAACAATATCTTCAAAATATCTCAAATTTGTTTTTATCCAAAAAGCGCCGCCATTGAGGATCGATCCAACTTCAGTTCGATAGATCTCAGCCATGTTCGATCGATCCAAGTCCAAGGTTCGATCGATCGAACTTCTTCCAGTGCAAAAAAGTTAAATTTTCAACTCACAAAAAGTTGTTCTTTATCCAATCATTGGGGAATATTTGTTGTACGATCCCAGCTTATTTTGGATGTCATTTGACCTACCTATATAATGATAAGGATTATTTTTGACATCATATCACATCATACCTTGTAGAACTCTTGGAGAGGAAGCTTAGAGGATGAGGAGGCTAGAGACATTATTGGAGACTTTTCATCAACCAAGGAGCAAATCTCTACCATAGAGTTAGCCCTTAAGGGTTGGAGAAGCACTACCATGAGTGGCTAGACATTCTCTTAGGGCTAGACTTAGCCCCAATCATGCTTTCTACATCTTGATTTTGTGTATTATTGAGGGGTTAATGTTGTAATATATGTTTTGACACTTTTATATATATAGATCTTGTTTATTTAATGATTTATGTGGTTTAATGCTTCCAATTGATCATTTCATTCTATCCATATGCCTATGTATGCTAGAATAGATGTTCATGTGTTTATCTCTATTTCATGTGTTATTGATGCATGTTTATGTGTATTAATGCCATAGATCTAGTGATTGTCAAAACATTATGCTTAATGGAATACTCTTGTAATTTTCTTGATGGTTCATGCTCATTTCTTAATGGATTGTGCCTTTCTCTTAGCTTAATTAGTTTAATTTCATGTCATTTGCTTAATTGTAGTGTAGTGGTAGCATAGTTGTTAGATGGGAGGACAATCCATGCTTGTTGTTTGATATTCCATACTTTGAATGCAAGTAGCATATGTCTCTAACCTTGTGGTGTATTTGGTTTGTGAGCTTAATGAAAGGATTAATGACTTGCTAGATATATTGTGCTTTTCACATGCTATTTAGACAATATATACTTAATTGTTAGATATATTGTGTTTTTCACATATTACTTAGACAATATATACTTAATTGGTCACCCTTACTAATTGAATCAACCAAACACACACACACATCAATATTGTAACACACATTTCTCTCATTAGTCACTTGTTAAGGGTGTAGAAAGTATTGTTTGGTGGTGACCTCTAAACCCCAAGATCTCTCTCTTACTTACTCTTTATTGCATTCAATTATTTAGTTTAATTTGCTTTCTAGTTTAATCAATCAACCAACTATTTGTTTGATCACTAAACCTACTAACCCTAATAGTGATTCCACAACCAAATTCGACTCCAATCCCTTGGGACGATCCCTACTCACCCTAACTATATTTTTAGTAAAGGTAGTAGTAGCTTTTATAATTATAAAACTTGGCCCTCGCCTTAATGCACTCTCTAAGCTTGTGGTGTGGTGTGGCAGAACACCATCATATATATATATATATATATAACAAACCAAATCAACCCATTAAATATTTCTTTAATGGAACCGCCAAATCACATTATCACTGCCTTTCCCACTAATTTCGTCCAGCTCACTTTCTTTTTATCTCCATTTGATATTATATATATATATATATATAAACAAAAAAACTAAATCAAACCCACTAAAATATCTCCGAATGAGACCGGCAGTACATTACCATTTTATTTTTTTCTTTATTTCTTTTCTCTTCAATTTCGGCCGAGTGCTCCCTTTTCCAACAAACAATATATATATATATATGTACACACACACACACACATACCCTGTGATAAACATCAAACCCATAAAATCTCCTTTAACCCAAAATCCTTGACAAATAAAAATGATGAAATAAATATAAATTAAATCTTAAAAATTCAAATTGTCACTAAAGGAAAGTAAGAAAAGAGAGAAAAATTTGGGAATCGTTTCAAATGAAGAGTGACAGCACCCCAAATCTCATGAGAACAACAATTCTAAAAGAGGAGTGCGGCTTTGGCCTAGTGGTAGGGCTTCTCAGGTTCATATAGCATTTCGACGCCCACCCCATCATTCACTTCCCCTATATTAAGATATCTAACAATTGCCAGGATTAGAAAAACAAAAAAGGCAAATCTAACAGCAGCTTTTATCATATAAAAAACTAATTATTATATATAAAAAAATATATAGCAATTGAGAACAGAAGAGAATAAGGAGTTTTTTTTTTTTTTTTTTAATTTGGGTGAAATTTTAAAATATAGGATTCTCAATGTATGTATATATAGACGATAGACAACTCTTGACGAGAGGCATTTGAACGATTGATGCCTTTTGAAAATTATCGTAAATGTATATAACTTTGAGAAGATGCGTCTATTGGTTTGTTTATTGGTTTTTTTTTTTCTCTTTTCAAAGAGGTGTTAACGAAAAATTATTTGTTTTTCTTTTAATGAAAATAACGTTTTTAAATGTATATTATAAATAGAATACACTTTTATAGGGTATATATATATGTGTGTGTGTCTTTGCTTATTGCTTTTGTACCCAGTCAGCTTCAGCCTTGCGCCTGCAATTATAAAAAGAGCTCTCCCACATTTTCAATATTAGTGCAATATCACATGGGCAAATAACTTTGTTGTACTTGTGCATTTTTAGGCTGATAATGCTTTGTATAGTGTTGCCTTTTTCTGTAGGTATATATTTGTGAATCCAATAATGTGATGGTAATTATGTTTTGAGGAAAACCTAGATAAACCTTTTCTTCATCATAATAGGAAAATGTTGATATTGTGAGTTTGAGTCAGAAGTATACACTATCCAATAAGTTCGCTATGTGGGTGATTTTCACGTCGTTTGTTGTTTTTGTTTTGCAAGATATGCTCTTATTTGGCTTGTTTTAGGCTTGACTGGGTGGATCTATTGTTTTGTCTCAGGCTAAATCTTAGATCTATGTCGGTTTTTGTTGTCCCTGCCTTGATTTTCTCTTGTGCGGGGTTTGGGTGATTTTTTCCCCTGTCAGTGACGCCTTGTGGATGCAGCCTTGCAGTTGATGGTCTGACATTTGGGTCACTCCCGTTACTGCTCTTCTCCTCTGGTAGTGTCGTTGTTGAGTGGTGGCTCGTTTCTCAACAAATCTAGAGCATGTTCTTTATTTTTTTTATTTTTTTTGCTTCATGATTTGTAGATGCCGTATGGTTGTTTTTCTTATTGCCAGGTTTAAAAAAAAAAAAAAAAAAATAATAATAATAATAAAAAAAAAAAACATTTATTTATATTAAGTTAAAACACAACAACATTATTAAATCGAAAATGCATGAAAAAAATTTAAATCGAAAATACAGTATTTTTTTCATCCTCAGTGTGGTGCACTCTTGATTTAATTGTGTTTGAATCACTCTTCCACCAACCATCAGTTTTGCAAGGATCCCTCACTTGTAAAAATGTCATCCAAACATTTATTAGACATTATACAAGTTATTAATGTATAAGGATGGCATCGGGATGGGTTTGACCAAATCATACTCTATATAGTTGGTAAATCATCCATATCATATCTGCCTTTACTATGGTATACCATCTTGCTCCGGCGGGACAAACAAAACTATACATTCCCTCCCGCTCACTCCGTTAAATGGAGGAAGTGAAAGAAACGGAGGGTTTTGAACTTCAAGGAATCTGTCAATAATTTGAAAAAATAAAAATAAAAGGATTAAAAAAAGTGTTGAGAGGAATAAGCAAGACCTTAATTTGTCATCTATCCATTTAGGTGCCAGAAAATCAAAACCTATGACATGAAAATGATAATATATAAAAAATTAAATAAAAACCATATGTACATAAAATGACTCCCTACAATCATATGGACTTTGCAACTTCAAATTTAGAGTGAAGTGGCATCACAGCTTCAAGTTCAGACAATAGACCCTATTCTCTTTCTCTACTCTCTATGTAATTCCGTCTTTAATACTTAATAAAGATTCTATATATTTCTAAATCTCAACTAATCAAGAGTCAATCAAGTCAATATTGAATCATAGCATAACGAATGAAAGGTAATTTTAAAAATAAATGTCAATAGTCACTTGCAGATGCCTCGATAGTCCAATTGGTTAGCGCCTCCGGTAGATTTTGGAGTGCCTGACTTTACTTTCCAAAAAAAAAATAGTCACTTTTCTACAATTAAATTTTAAATTTAATGGGTATTCATTTTTTTCTTAGCTTATAGTCCACTTTAGAGCAAATTTTGTACATTTGGTTTAAATGAGAGCAAGACTCGAGCTGAAGTTTGATTGTTAAATTTACCTTTGGGCTCCAAATTTTATGTTAAATCCAAATTTAATTTTGGGCCATAAATCTTATGTATGGGTCTGAATTCAACCCATTAAAATTCATGATTATTGTCCACTTTAGAGCAAATTTTGTACATTTGGTTAAATGAGAGCAAGACTCGAGCTGAAGTTTGATTGTTAAATTTACCTTTGGGCTCCAAATTTTATGTGAAATCCAAATCTAATTTTGGGCCATAAATCTTATGTATGGGTCTGAATTCAACCCATTAAAATTCAACATTCGGTGCTCATGAGCCATAGGTTAGCCTAGCCCACCTTTAGCCCTGAAAACTTAGGCACGCAGAGAAAGAGCATAATAACACAGGAAAATGGGAGACGGTTCACCGTAGGTTCAGCAAACACAAAGTGCTCTTTCTCTCTCTACACCCACTTTCTCTCTACTCGGGTGACAGAAGTTACTGGTCAAGATTGCTACTTTTGGTGCAAGTTTCTCAGACTGAGGTACCAATCATTTTCATAGTTCCATACTATTCGATTTCTACCATTTAATAAGCCATATAGTCTGTATTCGTATTTTGGGTATTCTTAATCTTCATCATCAGTTGGTTTAATTGCTTGAATTTGAGCTCCAAGGCATGTTCTTATATAGACGGCAATGGTGGAGCACCTTTTGTTTTACCGACCCCAAAGAGTTGGGATAGTTCTTGTTGGGTTTGATTACTTTACAAATTCTGTTCGTGTTTCATGGGTATGTGCTTATTATCAAGAAATTGGCCATTTAGTTTGATTTATTTGAGTTTATTCGAATTGGGTTTAGTCCGAAATCAAATCATTCCCAAAGAAAGATGGGTTTATAGAATGTATCGTAGTGCTTCTTCAGCATTGTCATTGGATGATCAAATGTTTGATTCTAGTTCATGTGTCCAAATTGGTGTAGCAAATGAGAATATTGTTCAAAGTAATAGGCCATATGTCGGTGAAATTTACTGGGAAAAGAGAAAAAATATGCCATATATCCGTAAAGAGCACAAGTTATATCCTTTTGTGGTTAAGGTATTAAAAACGTTGGAATGGAATGCTGCAAGAGAAATTTGGTTCGGGAGGGCCGTAATTGAATTTGGATTTCCTCATTCAACCACTGCATTTAGAATCATTATACATATTTTCGCACTGGCAGGGATGCATTCGGAAGTATATTCTTTGCTTAGAGATATTGTTTCCTGCTACAAAAGATTTAATTTAGATTTGTTTGAGCTGTTCCCGACTTTATTAGATTCACCTGATAATGCAACAAGATCGGTTGTCGTATTTGATGTGCTAATGAAGGTTTTTGCAGCAAATAAAATGCTAGAAAATGCAGTCGATGTGTTTGTACAGGCTAAGAACACTGGGCTCAAACCAAATATCATGTCATGCAATTTCTTGCTTAAATGTTTGATGGAAGCAAACAGGGGGGAATATCTGTTAAGTTTATATGAGGAAATGAAGAACTCTGGTCCATTGCCTAATGTTCGCACCTACACCATTATGATGAACTTTTACTGTAAAGGACCTAGTGGGGAAGATGTAGATATTCAACGGGCCACTGATATTCTGGAAGAAATGGAGAGAAGTGGGGAAAGTCCAACTGTTGTAACATACAGTACATATATTCATGGACTTTGTAGGATTGGATGTGTTGAGATCGCATTAGACTTTATCCGGAAATTGAGACATAATAAGCAGTCTCTCAACAGTTACTGTTACAATGCCATTATTCATGGGTTTTGCATAAAAGGTGAACTAGATGAAGCTTTGAGGGTTTTTGAAGAAATGAAGGGCTGTGGAATTACGCCAGATGTATATAGCTATAGCATCTTGATTGAAGGGTTCTGTGAAAACCAAAATCTTGAGAAAGGTCTTAATTTAATTGAGGAAATGGAAGCCAGTAACATAAAACCGTCCCTTGTTACCTATACCTCACTCATAAAAGGTTTCTGTAAGAGTGGTCTGATGGAAATCTCACTGGACATGTTTCATAATCTTGGGACTTCTGGTTATAAATATGACCAGGCTGCTTACGGCATATTAATAAATGGTTTTTGCATGCAGGGTGAAATGGATTCTGCCAATAAACTTTTGGAGGAGAAGATCAGCAATAATTTGGCTCCTGATGCTTCAAATTTTGGTAGTCTGATTCATGGTTACTGCAAGATGGGCTCCTTAGAAAAAGCCTTGGAAATTTTCAGAACCATGGTTGAAGGAGGTATTTTGCCCAATACTTTCACTTGCAACTTTATTGTTCATGGTTGGTGTAGGGAAGGGCGCGTGGAAGAAGCATTGCAATTTATGGATGAAATGAGGGAGCAAGGCATTTGTCCCAACGAATTTACTTATGGTGCAGTTGTTAACAGGCTCTGCAAAGAAGGAAGGTCAGAAAGAGCATGGGAAATTATCCCATTAATGCTTAAGACTAATGTTTTTCCTGGCATCGTAATTCATAGTACCCTTATAGATGGTTTTGCTAGACAGTCATATTCAAAGAAGGCCTTGATGTTATATGCAAGAATGTTAAGAGCGGGGGTTACTCCCGACACAGTTTCATATACAATTCTCATTAATCTACTTTGCACCAGGAGTAAAATGTATGAAGCCTATAATTTATTCAAGGAAATGACTGAAAAGGGCTTAGATCCAGACAAGATTTCTTACACATCAATTATAGCTGGGTTTTGTAGAATAAAAGAGATGAAGAAGGCTCAGGAATTGTTCAATGAAATGCCGCGGAGAGGCCATTTTCCCAGTGTTGTTACTTATACTTGTTTAATTGATGGATATTGCAAAGTTGGGCGGATGGACATTGCCAACGGGCTGGTAGATGAGATGAGAATCAAGAAAATATCTCCTGATGTTGTCACTTATAATGTTCTCATTGTTGCATATCTGAGACTTGGAGAACCGGATAGAGCTCATGAGGTATTTAAAGAAATGAGGGAAGAGGGGATTTTTCCAGATAGAATTACCACTTTAGTGCTAGGGATGGACGCTGGTTTGGTTGAGGCAAGGAAGCAGAGGAAATGATTCAGCAAAGACCAGATGGTATCTATTCAGACCATTTTTATTCTTAATATTATGATATTTCCATTTGTTAAATGCTATTTTAGTACGTTCTATGTCCTTGCTTACCTAAACAGTCTAATTTCCATATAATTCTTCCCTTTCTTATTGTGAATGGCTGAAACTAATTTTATTTGCATAATCAAATTGTTCTGGTTGTTGCTCTTTTGAGTTTTTAATTCAATATGAACATATGCATTTTCTTTTCCTTTTTTTCTCTTTCGAAAGTCCCATTGGCTCTCGAGCTATGAGGGCATTAATTACACAACTGGATAATTGTTGGTACTTCTGAGATTGTTTCTATTGTGATGTATTTTTTTCCCCTTTTTCGAAAGCTGTCAATAATCCATATTACAGTTTGTGCCTGCTTGAAACAGTTCCCAAATCGATTGCTTATATTCCACTTTTGTATATCAACTTTGTTTCAACTGCGAAGTGTGATGTAATTCTGAATTTATCATGAAGTTCCTGATTATATTCTATGTTTTCATTATGAGAATACAATACCTGAATTTGTCCTTTGTTGTGTGACCTTTTAATTTATCAAATTGCTGTCGCAATATTGAATTATGTAAGAACTATTATTATAGAATAGCAAAAGTTCTTTATGTGTCGTAAGCTCGTTGTCTCCCCTGTTCAGACGTTACACATTCTTGCTCTTCCCCCCCACCACACACACACAACACTCTAAGAAAACAGAAAAACAGAAGGAAAAAAAACCCTCATATCTCGAAACTTTTGTTCATTTTGTAATTCCTAATGACTTCGACCTGGTCAAATTTTTTTTAAATGATGTAATGCCAAATGTTCTCAAAGCTCGAATGGTGCAATGTCATTGCTGCTGAAGGTTTTAATGTATCAAGCATCATTACAAAGTGGAAGTATCACAAATCATGCAAAACTGCTTCTTTTTCCTCTCTTGTTGAACTTGTAGCTTCTAATGTTTCATATTACAAGTTGGACCACTTGTCCAGATGCATCAATGTTAAAATGTATTGCAAGTTGATCTGATTGTTTTTGTACAGTTTCAAGGATCTTTATTACACAGAATGGAGCTGAGATGGTCACCTTGTGTAGCGGATCAGTATATCCATTTTTTCTCAGTTCGGAAATGAACAATGGTAATTTTTTCGGTTGAATAATAGTGTGCATAGTTTGTTAACTGTGCCTTCTATAATATTTGAAGATAATGAATCAGCTGTCTCTTTCATTGCTTATAACAGGCTCAGAGATCTGGATAGCGATTATTTCGATAAAGCTATATTGCCAGATAATTTGAATTCTGCCAACTTTGGTTGCCTGCGGATTGGATGGCTTCAGGAAGTGCGCAAATGCCACCTTGGTACGCAACCTGATATATTTTTGTATTATTTATTAATTTTGTTCTCTTTTGCAAACATCCACATCTGCCATTCAGATAATTCTGCTTCATTTCTTATGGGGAAAGAAAATGACTAACAAAGGCTAGTCATTTTGCATACTTCGTTGTAAAATCTAGATACCAATGCCTGCTATAGTGTCTTTCTTTTTCTTTTCTTTTTCCTTATGAAATCTTGATGACACCTTACCATGGTCCGAGATCGTTCTCAGCACTCTCCCACCTTCTCTTTGAGAATGATGTTATAATATTACATAATGGCCATAAACAGAATCTTTGCAATGATTCGGTTATCGTTTGTAAATGATCATTTGAAACGTATCTTCACAAGGATTAATTTACCAAATTGATACTTGAACTCCGCAAGTTGCATTCTGTGCAGCCGTGGGTATTTTACCACTCAAAGTTCTGCTTTCAAGTGATTGCTTACATTTTGCAAACATTATGATATATTTAAATTTTGATTTTTGTATCATTTACTATAATCTAAATGTTGGCATTAAATTCAGTGTCCCGGGTTTAACATTGTTCTTCAAGGATTTCTGGATGCAGATGGTAAAAGTTCAAAGATGAATTCAAATTGGGAAAAGAAACAGGAATTCTGCTATTATTAAGCACCGGTAGCCATGTTAAAAATAGAATTGCATATGGTGGAAAAATTGTCTGCCTACAATCGATGGTCAATGGGCAAGGGATTTGATGATTCACATTATCTTTCGCTGTTTTACTCTCTTTCAAACAGTAGACTGTTCAAACCTCAGAGTATTCAGATGCACATCTTTTGTTCACATTCCATCCCCTGCACAAGACAAACTGAGCCCTATATCTCACCCCGTGTGTTTTCTTGAGTGAGGTTGATGTAGGGCTTTGATGATTTGGGTTTAGAAATGGAGATGGAATGCTTATGTATGGAAGAGTTTATGAGGTTTGAGGTTACAGATGCTCTGGAACTTAGGGAAAAGGTTGCTGAAATTAACATGGGACGAGCAAAGGAGAGGTGGAATGAAGTAGGTTTATGGTTTTTATGATGAAAAGGAAGAGAGTTAGGGACAGGTGTGGGCTCAAGTCACATTGGGAGGTGGTACTTACCGAGAAGAAAGGATCAAAAGGCGGGGGAGAGAGAGAGAGGTTTGGTTAACTCCAACATCTCAGTACAAATTCATGGGAGTCATTTCTGTACTTGGCACATGCTTAGATAGCTTTAGCCATACAAAGAAATAAATAGGTGCTTACTTCATACAAAGAAAAAAAAAGTTGTACTTGGCACATGCTTAGAGAAATTCTTCACTACATTGCACTTGCTTCAATACTTATATAGCTTTAGCCATACAAAGAAATTCTTCACTACATGGCACACACTTTCTCTTACTTAGATATTAGTTATTCTATTGGAGTTCTTACATCTCCTTTGGTATTGCTTCTTACCTCTGATTCCAAAAATACATCAATGAAAATTTGTTGCATTGACAGAAGATATAATCAGGACACATGAGCACAATATTATGTGAAAATAAGCAATAATACACGCTATTAGCAATATAATGCTACACGTGATCTAACTCCCTTAAAACAAACCTGTAGAAGTTTGGAATCATTGACAAACAGTTTTAGGAGAGAAACTCAAAGCAGCTTTACTACCTAAATCTCAATTAGATTGACTAGGTCAGACCAGTATTCCTCATACAAGAAGCTTGAGTGATGATCTCATCATTTATCTTTTGGAATAGAAAAATAACCCTTCTTGTCAGTTGTATGCCCTTGCAGTGTACTTGCTTGTTTCTTGTTCAATGCAAGCTTTTTTGACGTCAAATAATACTTAAATGCTACTCGATCACTAAATTTCATCCAGCAGTTGAAGTCTAATAAAAAGTTTAATTTGAGCCTGATGTGTCTTTCTCACGTTCATTTACTCCTGGTGACAGGTTTTCGGAAAGTGCATCAGAAAGGTCAAATAAAGATGCTGGAAAAATACAGACTGCCTCGAAGTTGAATGCAGGGTAGTAGCGCCGAAACTAATTAACCAGTTGTGGTTTCAAGCATCAGCCGTAGCCTACAACAACTTGAGGGTATGTGAAGAAGAATATAATGTACCCTTGTTGTCTTCTGGAGTTTCTTATTTGTAGTAAAGCTCCTGATGAACCTGTTATATTTGATTCTTCAGTTCATTTCAAGTAGCCTAGGTGGGAAGTCTGGTACAATTTTGTACCCAAAAATCGACTACCTTGGATATCCTATCTGGTTTACTTCCACAAAGATTTCCGATGATTGCAGCATGTGGGGTTCAATTTGGTTGGATCAACTGAGTAAGGAGCTGGATATTAATCTGTGGAACTTTCAGACACTTTCTATTCTGCAGGCTATGTATGACTTGCCAAATACGGGCATCAGGCTGTGGTCTAAGGTAGTGTCTTCCCCAGTATATTACTTCAGGCCAAAGATCTTTTTCTCTTCTTTTTCCTTTCCAAAGAATACCTACTTTGTGGAGGCATGGCTGACCCTTCCCATTAAAATAACAAATTTGGCATTGTTGGTACAAAGGTTTTTGTTGATTTAAGCTTTTCGGAACAGTTTTGTGTAAGCATATTTTGCAGGTTGTTAGAAACTTAAGAATTTTAGTGGGTAAGCAACTCAACCTCGCATGGGATATATATATATATATATATAAAGGAATTAACAACTTGGGCTAATGTGAGGGAATAAATATATATATGAATTAACAATTTGGGCTAATGTTGAGGGAAAATATATAAATATATCAACATTTGCCCAAGTTGTTAATTCCTTTTTCTTTTTCTTTTTTTTTTTTTTTTTTTTGACCTTTTCACAATAGGTGAAAAGCTCAATTGAACTTTAATGTGTCATCAAATACTATCTTAAACTTTATTTTTACCACCAACCTAGTCTTGTATCCAGTTGTAACTATGAAACAGTTTTTTGTTCTCAGAAAATTGAAAACATAAAACGGTACAAAAAACTTTGCTTAGTTCAGTTTTCTGAAAACTATTTTGTGAAAATTCAATTTTAAAAAATGCCTATTTTTTAAAGAATAATTTTTTATAATTTTTTAAAAACTATTCTCTATTTTATGAGTGTCGAACAGTTTTCAAAGTTACAAAGCATGCCTTGTCTTTCGTGTTTATTTGTCTGGCCTGAAAGTTGAAACCAGCTTGCAGCAGCCAAAAAAAAAAAGAAGAAGACTACATTTTATTTCCTCTCGTTTTTGACTTAAAACATGATTAGACAGCAGTTGAATCAGAGTTGAGCTTATTTGCTTATTTTTCATTATCCAGGGCCAATCTGTATGTCATATTTTCTGAAAGTTGAAACCAGCTTGCAGCAGCCAAAAAAAAAAAGAAGAAGACTACATTTTATTTCCTCTCGTTTTTGACTTAAAACATGATTAGACAGCAGTTGAATCAGAGTTGAGCTTATTTGCTTATTTTTCATTATCCAGGGCCAATCTGTATGTCATATTTTCAATCTTAGTTTTTATTTTGCACTAGGCAATGCCTCTAAAATAAAAACATGAGAATATGAAGAAACAATCTCTTTTTTTGCTTAGATTTGGTGTGTACTCAATTTATATAATGACAATTTTGTCATAAAATGCAATAAAATATTCCGTATGTTATTATGATATAAAGGGCAAGACTGACTTTCACTCTCAAAGTCACCTTATGGCATGATGAACAAACTCAGAGGAGGTCAAAGTAATAAAATTTGAACGTTTTACCTGTGTATAATTTTTTCAAAATTCAAAAAAAAAATGGTGTAATTTACCATCATAATAATAATAATAATATTGGACCTCTTTCCAAACATAACCTTTAATCCTATTTCAATGCATTGGTGACATTATGATGTTTCCCGTTGACATGGAATTGCAAACTAATTATAAAACTTGTCATGCAAATTTAATTTTTAACATGGAGTTTCTAAGGACCTGTTTGACATGTGTTATGATATTATTTTTATTGGGAAACGTGCTAGTTTTAAAAACTTTTTGAGGGATTTAAATTCATAAATCTTGATTCATTACATAGAGACAAGTTTTGTGCAAAAATAAAACATGATGTATCATTCAATTAAAAGATTGAATACTTACATCAAGATTTGAGTAAACCTTAGATCTCTCCTCTAAAGTGAATGTTCTCACTTATTGTAGATCCCTTAGCAAGATCATCTTCTTGGTAATTGTTTTGCCTTTAGGAATCACTCATAAGCCTCCATGAATGACCTTGGAAAACTAGGCTTGTGGGAGCCTCCATTAGATGAGAACATAAACCCTAATTTTCTAGAGAGAGAAAATAAATTCCCTTTTCTTGCTCATTCAAAATCACCCCCTAAAATATACATAGACCATGTATATTTATAGGCAACATAAAAATAAAGAAAAGGAAACAACAAATCCTTCTCCATCTCTAATTCATATGTCTCAAATCTAATATGATTCCAATATCAAGTTGGGCTATGAGTGAGAATCCATTGGGCCTATTATTTTATTGGCTACAATGAATTAATAATTGGCCCGGTCCATGGACCCAATTCAATTAATTCATAAATTAATTTCTATTCCACTAAAAGAAATTAATTGAACTCCAATTAAATAATAAATAACCTCTAAGTCAATATTGCACTTTGACCCCTCTATGCATAATTAGTTATCAGATAAATAAAGCCATCAATCCGACTACTTAATTAATATATCTATTTTGGTACCTCTGATTATTTCTGACTCGATCACAATAAAACATTTGTTTGACAAAAATAATAATTTAAATAAATAAATATATAATAAATCATTTTGTCTAAAAACATACGAAGGCCTTCGAATTTACTTTGTGATCAACCATAATCAATACAAAATAAATACAAGTAACAATGATGCAAATATTGAAAATATAACCCTCTAACTATTAATTACATAACTACCCAAAGTGTCGGTCTAAGGATCCCGAAGAATCCGCTGAACAAATCAAAGTAATTATTAATTAATAAAAGAGTCTATACTTTTCTCATGCTTAAGAGTCAAATGCCATGACGGTGATAGGGAGTAATTGCATACAACGGCTCTCGCAATATATCTCAACCTAACGCGGATTCAGTTCAAGTCTTAATTAATTATGAGTCCATCCATAATTACCGACTATGAACAATTTATAATTACTATTTATATATCATGCATTGATTGCCATCACATACATATATATAAATATTTCTTGTAATTACATGGACATTATCAATTTCATAATGAATCGAAACATAATACATTGAATTCACCAATTATATAAATCATAAATATTTCAAATATGTCAGGAACATATGTCACTATAATCCAGATAGGAATTTGCTATGCCAGGGCATATAAATCCCAACAGCTCCCACTTGCCCTCATAGCCAATTCAAATTGCACCTAACTCCAATGTTATCCAGATGATGATCAAAACTATTGATCAATGACACCTTTGATAATGGATCAATAAAGCTGTGTTCCAATGCAATGTTCTAACTACAAGTGCATTTTCTTGCCGGACAATATCATGTAGAACATGATACTTCCTCTCAGTGTATCTTGTTCCTCTATGGAACCTTGGGTCATTGGTTTGGACTACTTCTGCACTATTGTCACAACATAGCTCAATAGGCAGGCTAGTATACTCCACAACCTCTAAATCAGTGAAATCAAACTAATAGGCTTCCTTTGCCGCCTTTAAGGCTGCAATATATTCCACCTACAGGTTTGAGTCAGCAGTTGAAATCTGCTTAACAATCTACCAACTGATCTCCCTTCCATTAAGTGAACATACACTAAGTCATGAACCTCATAGTATCTACTTCTGATTGAAAATCAGAACTAGCATACCTGACTAGGACCATATCATCACATCCATAAATGAATATGATATCATTGGTTCTCCTTAGGTACTTAATGATATTTTTTACAATAAACCAGTTGTCAAGTCCAGTATTGGACTGATCTCTACTGACTATCCCTACTATGTAGCGGATGTCCTGTTTGGTATAGACCATGGCATATATGAGACTCTCATATGCCGAAACATATTGTTCCAGTCTCATTTGCTCAATCTCATTTGATAGTCTTGAAAAACTACTTACTAGAGAGAGCCAACCATATCAATAAAGCAAAAACTCATTCTTTGAGTTATGCATACCAAACTTGGTTAAAACTTTATCAATGTAGGATTATTAAGATAAGCCTATTTTCCTTTTAACCTGATCTTGCAAAAGCTTGATCCTAGGAATCTAGCTTACATCCTGAAAATCCTTCATTTAAAAGTAATTGAACAACTACCTCTTTATTGATGACAAAACTTCCACATCATTCTAAATGAGTAGGATGTCATCAATATATATAGAATTAAAAAAATAATAACATTCCCTTGTACACTCATGATTTATTCACTAAGAAATCTTCTGGTATCTTTTTATAGATTAACTTGCCTTCCATAGGAATCACCCTACTAGAAAGTTCTACAAGATCCCAGAATTTATTAGAATTTATAGATTCCAACTCTGATTTCATAGTAACTCACCAAAACGATCTGTATCCACATCGGTTCACGCTTCCGTGTAGCTTACTGGGTCCAACTCATGTTTAACAGGGATGTCCATAATGGTCTCACCTAAAAACATGATTCTGTCGAATTGGATGATAATCCTCCCACTACATCAATGTACCGATGCAAGAATCTGTGTAGTAGATGATGCTAACGCATCAATAGGGAATTCATATATTATTCTCAATCTCTATAATAAGTGTGTTCACATGTGGTACATCTGGTACTCATACCAAATTCTCTAACATTATGCTATTAGGTATGTGATTCATAATATGATTCTCCTATAGATAAATAGTGAGTGAAAACAATCAACTTTTATCTTTGAGATCATAAAATAATCCATCCTAGTGACATTTAGAGTAGCTATCAAATCTAGCATGCCTATGATCTGCTTCTAACTTATTTGTCTATATCAAGCGCACATGTGCAAGACTACCCCATATGTGCATATGATTCAAACTAATATTTAGTAAAAAAACACAGCTCAACGGTATCTTTGAGACAGACTAAGATGGAATGCAGTTCATAATGCGCATCGATGTCATTAACGCTAAACTCTTAAATGAAAGAGATAATGTAACATAGCTGATCATAGATCTAACCATGTTAAGTGGAATTCTGTTATTCCTATATGACACCTAAATACATTTAGCGTCAATTGCGGAAAACTGGTACATAATACCCTCATTGACCATATAGTCTTTGCACTATCCCAAGAAATACTCATATCCTCGATCAGATCGAAGTGTCTTGATAAGTTTACCTAATATGTGTTCCACATCAGTCTTAACCTTCTCAGAAAATACCAAGAGTTTAAGACTTGTGTTGCATCAGATAAACTTATCCAAAACGTGAGTAATCTTGCTTGGATGTTCATAAGACCACACGTGTCAATGTGTACCGACTCCAATTGTCCTTTATGTCTATTTCATCTGGCTAATTAAGCCCTAAGAGTTATCTATCCTTCAAAACAGGGTTCACAAGTTTGGTTTAGGCTCCCCTGCCTCACTAGGTAATTAACCTTCTTTGACCAATCTTTGAATCTCATTTTGATTGATAACAACCCAAAAATAGACATTAAAAATACAATGAGTCAGGAATAACAATTTTTCTCTTAACATTCAATCTAGAAGATGCAACATTAGTTTCTACATCCTGCAAATCTTAAGAGTTTGTGATTATAGTATATTAACCATCTTTCAATGCACCAGAAGCAATCGCATATCTATTCAATTTTATAAAACCAGTTTTACAAAATAACAACACAGTTTTTATAAACCAAAAGTGAAATAAGAATGAGATTGCATTTCACTTCTGTGCATAAAGATAGTTCTCTAA